TTAGATGATGGTTTAGGATGTGAGCTGCCTTTATATCACCTGAATTTACCTACCTTTATATCGCTTGATTTTAAAACATTTATCTTTACTTGACCTTCCATTAAGCGTAAAGTTGAGGAACCTAATTTGATTTCTTTTCAAATAATTTAAACATTTTTTTTTGTCGACATTTGTCCTTATTTGCCATGAATAAATTTTATGTAGCATTTGCTCTGACCTTTAAAACTGACACATTAATCTGTCTAAGCATAACCTGACCTCCCTCTGACCTTTTTCCACCAGGCAGACACATATGAGCATAATATGCTCGAGTAATCTTAATCAACACAGGATCAACGATAAATCAACATAGGATTAACTTTAAGCGAACGTGGGATTAATGTCGTTTCCCCAAGAGTAAGGGGGGGGGGGGAGGGGCATGATCATCACACCAGTGGACACAATGCCCAAGAGCAGCAGCGATTCGACGTTGAATTGGCGTTGAGTTTGTGTCCAGTGGGTCAGTACCACACAGCTTACCATGTATTAGTACGTACCACGTACTCTAATTGGCTTGTCTCGCAGGTACGGAGGTGCGGTGATTCTCAAGGCTGACGACGGTGATGGTGTCTTGTACAACGCCTCGCTCACCTTGCTGGGGTCGCCGCCGGCGTCCGGCCTCCTGCAGCTCAACGCTGAAGAAGCTGTTCAGTTGGGAGGGGCGTCCGAGTACCTCGCTCTGGGCATCGTCACCGTCCACAGAGATTACTTTGATGGTGAACAATTGAAATTATTTTGTTGTAAAGAGAGGAGTAATTTTGTACGTGTGAAAGGAGATGGTTGGTGTGGATACCTGTGTGGATATGAGTATATATGTGTGGATACATGTTTTATGTGTGACTTATCAAGGGCGAATACCAGCAGGAGGAGTAACTTAACTATTTTGGCCCTCTCGCTGTCTCCTCCTCCTCCTGCAGGGTGCCTGGACGACCTCCGCATCTCAGGCAGGCCTATGCCGCTTCCCCCCACCGTCAACAGGACGGCCTGGGGCGAGGTCACAGGGGTCCAGGGGGTGGATGGTGGGTGTTCGACGCCCCCTGTCTGCGCCAACGTTTCCTGCAGTCCACCCTTCACCTGCGTCGACACCTGGAGGAGTTACCACTGCGGGTAAGT